TTAAGCACAAGCAACAGTTTTTTTTTTCTCAACACTTTTTTCTGTTTTATAAACAATACTTCGTTTTGTTTTTTTTCTGCGTTTTTTCTTTACTAATCAGAATTTTTCATTATTATTTTCCTTCTTGTTTCAACTTTATGTTATCTGCTCCGATAGCCACACTCATCACACAGTCACAGTCGCTCAGTCAATAACTCGCATTGCTCAGCTCTGCTGTCTATGCCAACTCGTATGTGTATGTGTTTGTCTGACTTTCTGTGTGCTTCTTCGCGTTTGTGGTTAATTAGCCGAAGAACTTGCTACAACTTGTTGTTTGGTATTGATTTTCAGTTGGTGAGGAGCAGCTTCAGTGTCAAGGTCTCTCAAGTTCACAAACGGTTGGCGGTTTGGATTGGACGCGAACATAAAAATCTTAGAAAAATAGAAAAAAAGTTCTAACGTTTTATGGCTCGAAGTGTGCGAAGTTTAGCGTGAAATGTTTGACAGAAATATTATAGAGAAAAACTAGTGCTAAAGCGTTAGAAATTGTCATATTTGTTGGTAATAAAAGCAGTTTTGAAAAATATGAAAATATGTATACATTTATATGAAATGTAACTGGGAAATGTATGTTAAAAGTGGTGTTCAAATTATTTTTGAAATGAAATACTCCTTCTTTGTTGTGTTATTAAGTGGTTAATGTGAATATTAATTTTTATGATGAGTTGTAGAATCAGATACGAGCTGCCTTCCCCAACTTTGGACTAAATTTTAGACTACTTGGCATGGCTAAAGCTTTCTTCTACTATTTAGCTATACATGACTATTTTAAATACTTGCTTGCTGAAAGATAATGATCCATCTCATTTTTTTTTTTTTTCTGAAATTCTTGTGGAAAACAAATAATTTGTATAAAATGTAACATCATTTGCTCCGACTTACCTCTCTAATGCACAACTATTGCTTTGTATATAAGGAAGTTGGAATTTTTTAAAAAGTTTTATACTCCAATTGAAGCGAGTTCTTTTTATTTCTTAATTGTTTGACAATTGTGAATATTTATTTTTTTTACCATAAAGTGACGATGCAAACGCTAGTACCACAGTCGCAGTGTAGATTATAGGAAAAACTTGGCTAATTATTATTAACATAGATTCAACAATAATTTTCGTACTGATAAACTTCATCAGGAGCACGGCGTTATTGAGAGAGGAGACAATAGAGGGGGATTGTATTATTGGTGGTTTCACAGTGGGTCTTCTAAATGCCTAGATGCGTCGTCAGATATTGTACCTAATATACATATAATATATAATTTCTCGACATAATCGAGAACGGAATTTACGAAGTTTTGAAATTTTTTATTATTATTTCAAGCAAAGCTTCGGTACCCTTGACTCAACTAGACTCAACAAGAGTTTTCCTAGCGTAATTTTACCATGAAAAGGCTTTCTCAATGTCGGTACACGCCAACAGAATGGGGCAGACAGATCGAGAATACTGCACGAAATGTTTAGAGCAGGGAACCAGGAAAACAGTGGAACATCTCCAGTGCACTTGTTCCGCATTGGCAAGACTACGCTGTATGATACACTGGAGGAGGTATCGATAGTTAGGCCGTAGAGTCTGTTAAAATTAGCGTCAAGGATGGCTACTTCTATTGAACTTAGGAACTGAAGTCCATCTGGTATCGCAAAGAACCAAAAATTGGTCCATGTGTGGCTTATTGCTATATTGATTATACTAGTTTAACCTAACCTAACCTATTGAAGCACAGCAGGGCATTGTAAAATAAGAACAATTCCTCTATACTTAGTCTACTTCCAAATGGATAAGAAACAAGAAAAAACGTTAACTTCAGTTGCACCGAAGCTAAATACCCTTCACAGGTGCATTTCTGTTAGTAATTATGTGTTCAGTTTGTATGGAAGCTATATGTTATAGTGGTCCGATATCGGCAGTTCCGACAAATGAGTAGCTTCATGAAGAGAAAATGGTGTTTGCAAAATTTCAAAACGATATCTTAAAATCTGAGGGACTAGTTCGTATATATACAGACAGACGGACAGACGGACATGGCTAAATCGAATCAGCTCAACATACTGATCATATATATATATACTTTGTAGGATCTCCGACCCTTTCTTCTGGGTGTTAAAAACTTCGTGACAAACTTAATATACCCTGTTCAGGGTATAAAAATAGCTATAAAAGTTTGTTCACAACTCTGTCCTTTTTCTAGAAATATTTCTAAAGTAAATATCAGGAGTGGTCTGGCAATTTTCGATAAACACAATCTTGTGTTGATTAAAAAGCATTTTTTTCGATAAGACAAAATTTACAGAGATTAATTGAAAATGTGATATATTTATAGCTCTAGTGGCATTGAATATGTTATCGATAACCGAGTAATCGATTTTTAATCGATAAAAAATTAAAAAATAATAATAATAAAATTATGAATATAAAATATAAATTGATTTGCTCAGTGAATCATTTTCAATTTAAATCGCTATCGCTGATATGGATTACTAATATAAAATCGATAAAAAAATTGTCAAACCAATAAACGTCGTTTGTCGATATATTACATCAAAGAAAATATCAATCGGTATAGTGCAATACCTATAGTAAGTATAAAGTTTTGCCAAAACTCTGTGGGATTATATTTTTGTTTAACGGTTTCATTTGAAGCTCTGCAGTTTATCGATGATTCACTAATAAAAATTTTTTTTATAAAATTAACTAAAATTAAAAATTGAAAATCACACCCAAATTACAAATTTTTAAGAGATGTATGGTGCGGTTCAGTATTTTATAGATAATTTATTTTGAAAAAAGTATCGATAAATTTAATTTAAAAACAAAGAATGCACTCAATTCACACGTTTTAAAGCCATATCACCGAATTATTGTTCACTAGCTCCTTGATAATTTATTAATTAAAGTTATCGATAAAATTTACTAATAATATTATCGATATAATTTATTAATAAAAAATATCGATAAAATTAACTAAAAACAATAATTTAAAATTACGCCCAAATCACACGTTTTTAAGAGATTTCTAAATCTCTTCTAGGTGTCGTTGTGTATATTATCGATAATTTATTTATAAAAAGTTATCTATAAAATTAACAAAAAATAAGAATTGCAGTCAAATCACACGTTTTAAAGCTAATTTGCGTAATTCCAATTCAATAGTGTATCAATAATTTTTTATTAATAAATTTTTATTAATAAATTATGGATATAAACAAAACTTAAAATTGAAGATTATACCTAAATAATACATTTATACAATATTTGGCAGAATTTTCATCTTAAGTAAATCACTTGGCTGAGAGATTTCGATAATCTTATTTAGTTATCGAAGTGAAGTTCAGCAATATTAAAAAAGATACACTTTCGAAATTATATTCATTGCTTTTACATACGCCAGCCAGTAAAGTAATCTATGCTAATTTGGCTGAGCACCGAAACAAAAAAAATTAAAAAATTTACAAAACATAAATTTTCAAGTATCATTTTTAAAACTAACAGCAAATCATTTTAATCGCTTTGAAAAAAAACACATGCCAAAAACTTATCAATTCGCACAAATCAACTGGAAATGAATATCGAATAAACAGAAAATGCAATAAAAACACAACAGGTCAATGCGCACAAATCAATTTTATAGCAAGCCAGAATGAAAGAAAACAAAAGGGGGACAACAGTTAATAATGAAGTTTCGAAAAAAACCAAAAAGAACGAAAAGAAAGCAACAGCAAAAGACACAAATAAGTAATTAACAAGAATGCAACGCGCTTTATAGGAAGAAAAAGTAGAAGAAGAAAGAAGTGTCGGGCTCAAACGCGGCACACAACGAGGTGACAGGAAAAGAATTATTTCGCGGAGCGGCGCAGCGAACGATACTGCATATCGAGTTACGAAAGTAGCAACATGCATTCACGCGCACACTCATGCAAATGCATATGAATATGTGCAAGTATATATGTGTTTATGCAACATATTTGCATTACACATGAGTGCATACTTATAAGCAGAGCTTAACTAGCGATTAGCGAAGCATATATTGCATATTCAAATATCGCAGGCGAGAATTATTTTCCTTCAAAGATAACATGTTGTAAAAGCAGCGTCGCTCTCAGACGCACAATGTTCTAGCTTCYTTCTTTTTTATCTAGCTTTAGCTAAACATAAAAGCCAATACTTTTTTTTTTAGTAATTTCACATGCCCGCTTGCAATCAGCTGAGCGTCTTTACCATCGTTTACAAGCGACACAAACACTATCTACAACAGCAACAACAACAAAATGCAATACTGAATTTCGGATTTTTTTACTTGCTTTTACCATTTTTGTTTCGGTTGTTGCTGTCAACAGAGCACCGTTATGCGTGTTTCCAACTCTTTTCTTTTCCGCATCACAAAGCGACGCATACGCATGCGCGTCGACCGCACAGTCCACGAAGCATATTCGCCGCGCTCATTCACAGCTGGCAGTTTTCGCACTTTCTCGCCCGCTCGACTGTGGCTTCGTAAGCCAAATTTCTTTAACTCCTCAGCCACTCTTGGTTGTTGGCACAGAGTGGGCCTATCTCTCTCCCAAACGCACAATCCACACTTTAGACCCACTCTTTTCTCACTTTCTGCTGTTTCTCCAAATGCTTAGCAAGTGCTTCTTCCGCATCTCGTACAATAATCGCCTGACTTGCATGTGTGCATATATGTTTTGCTTTGGCCATGGCCATGAACGTCTCCATACAAAAGAACTTGTTGTTGCGCGGCGTCAGCTAACGACGCCGGCGTAGACGTCAACGCACAGCGTCACATTTGTCTTCTGGTGAAACAAGTGCTTGCTTATAGCAGTCGCTTTCGTCGCTGCCGTCAACGTCTGCGTCACACACATAAACATTCAACTGCTGCCACATACTCGCCTCATTACCACTGTCTTTGGCTGGCATTTAGTGTTGGGCACTTCTTCGCTTCAACTTCAGTTGCTGTTTTACATTCGGTTTTGACTGTCGTGCCGTATTTGCTTGCGCAGTGCCGTCGTCCAATCCGTTATCACCATCGGCGCTTAGCGAGCATAAGAAAGTTGCTGTAACCCGCAACTGTGTAGTCAGACAATAATTTAGTTGCTCGTGCGACTTTTACCCGAACTGTTGCTTAGCAATTTTTATACGGTTAGAAAGTGTTTCTTTTGTGTTACAATATTTTTTTTTTTTTTTGCTGGTGTGTAATTAGTTGCGAACTGCCGAATTTTTTATTCAAGTGAAAACATAGAAATTGTGGACCTTAATTTTTTTAATAAAAAAATATTATT